GAGGAGGGAGGGGGGGGTGGGGGTGGGGGTGGGGGTGGAAGTTCTGTAACTAAATTGCACAAATTTGTTTGGGCTATAATAATAGTAGGCATCAGAACAGAAATCCACAATTTTTTAATTCTCCAACTTGCAAGTTCTGTGGAATTAATTTGCTAATTGCTAACGCGCGTTGTCCTTTTAAAGGTCCTGGCCTCGCTTTTGTCGTCTACCCTGAAGCCTTGTCTCAAATGCCCTTCCCGGCCATCTGGTCCGTATTCTTCTTCTTCATGCTCTCCACTGTTGGCATGGGCTCCCAATTCGCCATCGTTGAGACAGTTATGTCTGGTGTGGAGGATGAACTTCGACGACTCGGAGTGCTCACTAAGAACTACCTCAAATATGCCTTTCGGTAAGAGCACCTCTAAAATAATGCTCTGCCTTACTGTTACACAGCTGTTCTGTCTCCATGATCAAATTTACTCTCTGCCTCCTCTACCTTCCAAAATACTGCCACCAACAGGAGAACAAGGGTGGTGTTGAAGTGCATTTTTGTTCCACGAGGTGACTAACCCACCATTCTGTAGGCGGTAGAGTGATAGCTTCAGTGAGCGCTGTGTGGAAACGTACCGGACACGATTGCTTGGCAAAACACTTTCACAGATTGATCAAAACACCTTCACAGATTGAGAGTATACACTCAACCCACATACTCTATGTAACCTACAGGAGGAAATGGAGAAGTCCCACCTGTCTATGTGACCTACAGGAGGAAACGGAGAAGACCCACCATATGTAACCTACATGAGGAAATGGAGAAGACCCATCTGATTAATGTAACCTACAGGAGGAAATGGAAATGTCAATGTCATCCTGATGGGAGGATCACATTAATTAATTAAATGGAAATTAATGTTAATTAATTTCACTATCATACATGCTCAATTACCTTTAAGTAATTTCACTAGAATGCAATGTAAATAATTCAATGCTAGGTGTCTCGTACAAATTAATTCTAAAATTAATAGGAATTAAGCTACCTCATCTTAGGAAGGATATTTTTAGGACTGTTGCTCCTGTCATAACAAGGTAATAAAACATGATTTTGCTTGGTTTACCTTTGCCTTTAATTGCGCAACAATTAACGTCCATGCGTCTCCTTGACAGTAATACCAGTTTAGACATTACTGCAACAACCTTATTTGCTAACATTCGTCTTGAGTTAGGAAAGCAAATGTTCCTGTGTCGCAATTACCAACATTCCGTCCCAATGTTGAGTAAAAGTGAAATTTCTCGCCTGGCGCCATACTCGGCTTTTCTACCTCCAATTTGTAGTCTCTATGTGTGTAAAATCGATTATCTCTTTCTCATGCTTTGCTGAGAAAATGAGACTGTTCACTTCCAGGTGTCTAGCCACTTCATTTCTCAAATGGTGATGCAGCATGATGTTGCTATATGCTAGCCATCTGCGTGTGTAGTCTTTACGGATGAATCTGCACTAACACGCGCTGTGTTGACTCAATCGCACAAAGCACATCCATGAGTAGTGGCATAGTGTGGCGCGAGTCTTCGTGGGCGTTTGTACCTTGCGTGCACTCGCTCTTGAACACAGCCTTTCTAGATGGGGGGGGGCCTTCAGACCACAGTTAGATTCAATTCGTTGGAGTTATTTCAATATGTTTGCCTGCACAAAGGACACCTTCAGAGCGAATGAGAAGTATCCCCACCCCCACCCACCCACCTACAAAGGCTTCCAGTCGTTTAAATGCCCTGGAATGTATCAAATTTTCCAAAACAGTTGCAATCATTACGTGACTAACCAATTCAACTAACTCTCATAAAAAAATAAACACTGCCTTAGGTTATTGATTAGAGTTCCGAGAGGTTTCAAAAGCACGAGGAAGCATAACGTAAAAGGGTTTTGGGAATGACTTCATGGCGTGGGGACTCTACTCAAGCCCTTTAGTATCGTTGATTATTAAAAAATGCTAAAACTTATTCAGACTGCAAATGCAACGTGGCCGATAATCCATTTAAGCTCAAATCTTTCTCGTGTCAATTCCTTGGGATATTTTTGCAGAAAAAACAAACATTCACTGTACAAGTTCGTGGCTTTGATTGGGATAAGTGTTGTTTACCTTTCAATAACTTTTAACTGCGCAATTATCAAAAGAAATTGAGTTTCCTTGTAGTGCAGGTCAATGATAATTATTTAGCTATGTCAATGTAAAGTATACTTTGGTTATTAATAGAAGGTATCTAAGCACGAAGGGGACTAAATTTTAAATTGTAGGGATAACACAAAGAATTAGTTGGTGGAATTAAATTCACTTGGTTTCCGATTTAAGCAGGCTCTACAGATCTCGTTATCCTTATCGTGGGTTCCGGATGTTAAGTTTCACAATTTCATCCCTAACACCTGGAATGAGTTCGTGTTCTTGATTTGTTGATCATGTCGATCCCATGTTCCTATCTTCACTGATTAACCAATCCTTGAAAGCTTAAACAAGAAGGGGGTGGGGGTGGGGGTTGGGGGTTATCGTTGCTATTTAAAGTTGTTCCGCTTTCAGAGTCCACAAATTGGGTAAATTAATCTTTTGTTGGTTATTTTATAATCTCTCAGCAAAAATGAATCGTGATAATTTTAGTGAGGTTTGAGTATCCTAAACTCGCGCATACAGGGCTCTTAAAGGAATTTTCATCTTAAATGCAATTGAACAGCCTTTGATTATGGAGTGGGGGGTAAATTTGGTAACTCAACCTTATTTGCCCAAATGAGCACTTTCTGTGTTTTTTTCCGCTGTAGAATCGGCCTATGTGCAGTAAGTTGCCTACTTGGAATACCGATGGTGTGTCCGGGTGGATATTTCCTCCTCTTCCTTATCGATTCGGCCATGTCCGGTTATCCTCTCATGTTCATTGGCGTTGTGGAAATCATTATCATCTGTTACTCCTATGGCAAGTGAATAACTTTTTTATGCACTTTTATTTAATATCCATTTCGATTCATCATATTTTTCATTTTTACGAGAAAAAAACGTATACCGTTTTAGTACCTAGAGAATTTGTATTTGAAAACTCAACATTTCGCGTTTCAAATTGTCTTTCCTTTGCCTGCCAAGTTGGCAAGGATTGAAATATTAACATTAAATATAGGTTGAATAAATTGTATCTGGATTACCAAGATTAGACAAATTGACGGCATATCTTTCAAATAATGTTATGTAGGCTGTTGTTGACAATCTTAATAAAAGCATGTTACACTAGACTACCTGTTTTGCCTTTTGCATTCCAAGTAAGTGTCGAGTTAGAAGTTTTGATCACGTTTAAACAGATTTTTGCTTAATTTATACTTTAACCAGGTTAATTGGTAGCACTTCCTGAGGTTTTCTAAACCACTGGCATCTCTATTGTAAAACAGGCGATGAAGATCATTCCAGTGATCTTAATGCGTTATTCTATGTTGATCCTCCTCCAATAACTCCATGTTCTAAGAATTGAACTTACAATAGACTGAGAGATTGCCACCAACGTTTAGAGTGGAAGGATACATTTTTAACGAACATTTATAACATACTGATTCTCCTCAACAGGGCACCGTAGTATCTTCGAGGTAGCTATTCTGTTTCAACTAGCTTAGAATTGGGCAATGCACATTATTATTTTTTTCCCTGTGATAGTTGATAGTATTAATTTTTGAATAATACAGCCAATTCTAGTGTTCATGAAGATTGACATTCAAAAATTATCTTTGCCGTTACTTTTCCTTAATGATGAGCACTTAACGTGGTCTGTTGTCGTAATTGCTTAACGAGACATTTCAAATATTTCATTTAATTGCTTTTAATTAATTGGCATATGGGATGAATATTGAATTCGCCAAACGTGTTCACTGCTTATAAACACTTTTCGCTGACTTAGAACAGACAGTGTTCATCTGTTTCTGGTCTAATTTTCACAATATTTTAACTTCCATTTCCTCCGTCTGCCAGTTTACTTTGTTTGAAATTTATTCTTTCTATGTTTTCTCATTCTTTGTACTTTTGAAACGTAGATAAAATTTGCGGGCTTTGTGGTTATTCTAAGGGAAGCACGCTTTCAAAGCGAACTTTATTCAGTCAGCCAAAGCAAACGTGAAATGGTTGTTATAATTAAACAATCTGTCAATAGACAGCTTGACAACGTGAGAAAAAATTTACTCATCAGTCAAGAAATGATGAAACCTAATAATTGGATTGCTAATTTGAAGTAACCCAATTTAAGTGCCTGCTTTATCGCCAGAATCCAAACATTCAAATGAAGTGAAATTCCTGGGTGCCATGTAATGACTTTGATCAACTAGTTTTAGACATCTCCCATTTTAATGACCGACTTCAGTGTCCTCCACCTTCTATATTGGAAGTTTAAAAATCATGAAATGTTCTAACGGTATATTTGCATCTTCGAGTTGAACGCAAACACTGAAAGAATTATTGAGACCGGCTAATATTCTAGCATAGAAAATGCCTTCCGTTAAAAAATGGAATTGTAAGAAGGGTTAAGCTTGCTTAAACAGAAAGGAAAAGAGGCTTATCTCTCAAATTATTTATCATTTTCAATTAGGACTCAAGCAATTCCGTAAGGATATTGAACTGATGATCAATGCTCGACCAAACTGGTATTGGCGAATCTCTTGGCTCATAACAACCCCTGGAATCTCCGTCGCCCTCATTATATTCCTACTAGTAAGTAGCAATGTACTTCAATTGGACAACTACATCTATCCACAATGGGCTCAATCCTTGTATCATCTCACATCTTGCTTCCCTATCCTCTGCATTCCGTTTTGGTTTCTGTACAAGTACTGTCGAGAAGGTGGCTGGATTGTAAGTAGAATTACATTGCTACTGAAATGCGTTTGAGTAAATTGTATTTTAAAATCGCGTTTTACCTCCAGCTTTTCAAGGAGTTCCTCAAACCGGTGAATGAATGGGGTCCGGCACAAGATGAACATAGAGCGGAATTTATCTCAATGATCCGTTCGAGTGACTCCCTGCGTCATAATGCCAGTGGTAGTCAAATGTGCATCAGCAGTTCGTACATCCCACCGGGGATCGGCGATCCTGAAAATGGATTCTCTGGGGGCGACAGTGTTGGTCGCAAAAAACGCGTAATGATTGGAAATAGTAGTGTGGCGTTGGACACAGAGGGCGGATTCTTCCAAAGCAAACTGAGTGTAGCCGAGAAGCTCACCATGGCTCATACCAAGGAACTGGCGAAACGATCAGGAGTTGATCTTAACCAATTTGATACTGACGGCCTTACGGCCAGTCAATTAGTGAGTTCCATTTGCGCTTGATTCGACACTTCATATGCACCTAGTGGTTCAAAAACAGCTTCATGCAATTTAAGTGTCCGGTAAATTAAAAAAATTCGAAGGCAAATGGTTCGTAATACTTTTTGGTTGGAGACTTAAAAATTTGGCCAACAACTATAGACTAAATTTCCACTTTATTAGACTCTTTTGTTAATTTGAATAATTACGATTGTTCCTTAATTGGAATTCGAATATGTTAGGTCTTTAAGAAAGCCACACATCCAAAGTTGTTTTTCATTTTTCCCGACCATCTTTTCTATTTGCTACATATGAGCCTGTTCAAGGTGACTAGAAAAATCTTGCAACATTCTGAAATCTAATTTAAAACTTTTGACAAGGTTTACCGCAGATGGTGATTGCATAGTCTTTCTAAGTGGTGTCATTCTCAAAACAGTTTACTTCATGAATATGTCGATCGAGTTCCTCTTACACTCTGTAAATGTCGCACAGATGTCAAACTTGCCAACAATACCATCGCCCGCTCTTTTATTCTAGGCTCTTGCAGCAATGACCGCTGCAAAAGAGGTTCAGCCTTATTCTGTAGCCTACGAAGGCGAAAGGATGGCTGGTCGTTTCTCCACCACTGACGCGCCAACCATCAACTTTGACCGAAAGACTTCCAACACACCCCCCTCTGTCCATGGGGTTGACTCGAGATCATCTCCTCCAGCCTCCGTTTCTGGTAGCGGTGATGTCAAAAAGGACGATAGTGACGAGTCATCCACAGCCACCACTCAAAGTGCTCAAGAAAACTCGCAGCAACGGCGGTGGCAGCAACAGCAGCAGCGCCAACAAGAGAAAAATGAAGTGGATAAGAACGTGGAGTAAAGTGGCAGCGCCCGTATTTTTGTGTGTCAATAAGTGTAAGCGCGTTTGTTTTACTACCCGAAATCGATTATTATGGAGCATCTTCCTCCCTCCCCGCCCCCCCACCAACCCCTCATGTCTCACTATCTATGGAAATTGGCTTTCACACAGTGCCTCTATTGCCATCCTCTTCCCACTTCCTTTGCCGGCCATGTTAACACCTACATTTTCAAATTTGTGCATTCTCCTAGATGCCTACGTGTATGTACGTCTCTGGTGAAGCTTCAGCGAATTCAAACAATTAGCTTGAAGTCACCAGTCCATTATTTGATTGTTTTTATTGATATTATTGTGGTGTGGGGAGGGGGTTGTGGTGGTTGGGAGGGGGGGGGGCTGGGGGGGGCAGGCGCTAGCGGAGTTATCCTCTACCATTATCTTCTTGTTGGCCTTTTAAGCTTCTTATTGTTCTCTGTTGCCAACATTAAGCAGACGAAATACCAGTGATGAGTGGAGCCAAATGACATAGAGTGTCTCAATGTTTCCCCCACTAACTCCGAGAATGCTATATTTTTCTAACTTAATAAAATGACCAATGATAAAATGAATGTTACATTACTTTAAATGAGTGCTGATCGGTTGCTAGAGATTACTTCAATCAGTCTTGATAGTGATGGAGAAAAAATTCAGACATTTGTTCAAATTTCTCCTTGGTGATCTGACATCGGTCTGAAGTAAAACGACGGACCCGATCTTTGACAAGGTGTTCATGAATATGATTAGTGTGCGAAGAAATGGGGAATCAGAAGTTTGTGTCTACAAACAGTGCCAATTTCTTTATGGAATTCTTGGAAACTATCTTGTAAAGATTAACTGGGAAGTTAAACTCAGATCATGCTGAGGTAATTGAGACAGTGATATTGGGCACACCTGGAATG